CTCAGACCAGACTCCAGTACATGGTGGGCAGCATTTATCAAAATAAAACGTGAAACCACTCGGTGAAACCGCTAACAGTTCTCTTTGCGTTTGGATACAACATGCCCATCATTCCTCCACTGAAAGTACAGAGAGGAATCTGCTTGAGTATTAACACCCAAGCTTCAGCATATTACACAGCATGTTACATCTGATTCCCTTCACAATTCCTACAGTCGCTGAGAGAGGTAGGGCTGGGGTTACGGCTTCTATCTGACAGAAGTCTGAGACTTAGTGGGCTTAAAAACATCACATAGGACTTCAGATTTAAAACAGTAAGAAATTTTTAAAAAGTGGGAAGATTCAGTCCATTTTAAAACTTATTTAGCTACAGTAATCAAGGCTGTGTGGTATTGGTAGAAGGATAGGTACACAGATTAATGGAAGGGAATAGAGAATAGAGAAAGGCCTGGAAATGGACCCTGACAATTAAGTTCAACTGATTTTTAACCAAGGTATTCAATGACAGCCTTTTCAATAAATGGTACTAAGAGCAATTAGATATCCATGAGGAAAAAATGACCACAACCTAAGTCTCATTATGCAAAAATTAAGTCAAAATGGCTAGGTGCAGTAGCTTAAGCCTGTAATCTCAGCACTTTGGGAGGCCAAAGCAGGCAGATCACTTGAGGTCAGGAGTTCAGGACCAGCCTGGCCAACATGATGAAATCCCATCTCTACTAAAAATACAAAAATTAGCTGGGCATGGTGGCGCGTGCCTGTACTCCCAGCTACTCGAGAGGCTGAGGCAGGAGAATCGCTTGAACCTGGGAGGCAGAGGTTGCAGTGAGCTGGGATTGTGCCACCACTTCGGCCTGGGCAACAGAGCAAGGAGACTCTGTCCCCCCCCCCAAAAAAAAACTCAAAACGGATCATAAGTTTAAATGTAAAACTATAAAACTTAAAAGAAAATCTTCAGAATTGAGGGCTAGGCAAAGATTTCTTAGGTTTGACACCAAAAGCACAATCCATAAAAAGAACAATTGATAAACTGGACTTCACCTAAATTAAAAATAAAACAAAAACAAAGAAGATCTTAGAGTCTAAAAGTCTGGTAAATAAAATTAAACAGGATGGTTGGAATATAGAGCTGAGGAAATCTGGAACGTGAAGCAAAACGACAAAGAAATATAAAAAGAAGGGAGAAAACAAGAAAATTAGAAAATCAATTCAGGAGAACCAATATGCAAATTATAGAAATTTCAGAAAAAGGGGGAAAAAATGAAACTAAAACATCCCCCAGAATGCAAGGATATGAGTTTCTAGACTGAAACGGACCACCAAACACCTAACATAATAAATAAATGCACATGCAAAGGCATATCAAGAAAACATTAGAAACAAAGAGAAAATTTGTAAATTTCCTTGTAGAAAATATGGGTCACTCCCAACAGACTAGACATTAGAATGACTTAGGATTTCCCAAGAGCAACACTGAAAGCTAAAATATAGTAGAACAGTGCTTTAAAAAATTTAAATGAAATGATTTCCAACTCAGAATTTTGTACTCAAACTATGACGTGCAAACATAAAATAAAGATACTTCTAGACCTGAACGTTGTTTGTTTTTTGTTTTGAGACGAAGTGTAGCTCTGTCACCAGGTTGGAGTGCAGTGGCACGATCTTGGCTCACTGCAACCTCCGCCTTCTGGGTTTAAGCGATTCTCCTGCCTCAGCCCCCCAAGTAGCTGGGATTACAGGCACGCACAGCCACGCCCAGCTAATTTTTGTATGTTTAGTAGATACGGGTTTCCACCTTGTTGGCCAGGATGGTCTCCATCTTCCGACCTCATGATCTGCCCACTTTCGCCTCCCAAAGTGCTGGGATTACAGGCGTGAGCCACCGCGCCCAGCCTAGACCTGAAATTTCAAAAAAATATATCTATCATGCATCAAAAAGCTACTGAGGCTGGACATAGTGGCTCATGCCTGTAATCCCAGCACTTTGGGAGGCTGAGATGGGAGGACCACTTGAGCTCAAGAGTGTGAGACCAGCCTGGGCAACATAGCGAGACCTTGCCTCTAAGGGAAAAAAAAATTTTGCTAGGTCTGGTGGCATGTGCCTATAGTCCCAGCCACTTGGGAAGCTGAGGCAGGAGAATTGCTTGAGACCAGGAGATGGTGCCTGCAGTGAGCTATGATCGTGCCACTACGCTCCAGCGTGGGTAACTGAGACCCCGTCTTAAAAGAGAGAGAGAGAAAAAAAGATACTGGAGGATCAGCTCCAACAAAATGAGGAAGTTAGCCAAAAGAGGAATTACCAGTCCTAATTAAAAAAGAGAGGCAAAGGAAATGTCCAGGAAATTCCAAGATCCGAGTGTAAATCAGGCAAAGAACAATCAGCCCAGGTTCCTCAGTCAGGAGACTGACGGAGAAATCTTGAAGATGATAAAATAGACACCATTAAATGCATCTAAAAAATCCAAAAAATGGTTTACACAATTTATGGAAAATTGGGAATTAAACTGTTAAATAGTACAAAGAAAACTCAGACCAAGAGAGGGAAAACAAGACAATTAATAATTTTAGTGAAAGCAAAGTTATATAGGAAAGGCAGAGGAATCATAGTTCACCAGGAATTCAGTTGAAATAGTTTTCTTACATAATAATGTAAAAACTAATATTCATATAAACAACATATTGCCGAAGTTTACTGGTGTTTTGGAAGAATGGAAGATGAGAATACTGCAAGTATTTGGGGAGAGAGGCAAGTAGCGAATAAGTGACAGTTATGTCTTTACTTCCCATAGGAGATAATGCCTAAAATGGAAGAAAAATCAAGAACTAGCAATATTAACATGTTATTTAGAAAGACATCAAAAGAATCACCTAAAGTGGTTGCCTCTGGGACCCTGTAATGGCATAGGAGCTCCCCTTGGGGAAGTGCTTGATGTTTTTTGTAACAAGCTTAGCTCACCTATTTGAATATTAAAGCTTTGAAAGAATATAAACTAAAAACAAAACTCTCACAGCTAATACACGTCTGGGCCAAAACTTGAACCTGTGTGATTTAACTCTTAATCAAGCCCATTAATTTGTGAGCTCCTCATGGGCCTGTGCTTCTTCGTTCCTCCACTACAAGGCCTGCCTAGCACAAGTAAGCGCTCAGTGTGTCTTTAAATAAGGAAGAGAAAGTGAAATCATGGGATTGCTTTTGTAACACAAGTAAATGAGCAAGAAGGGCATTCTAGATAGAGGAAACAGCAGAAGCAAAGACAGGAAACAAAGTGTGTGAGAGCTGAACAAGCACGGGCAAGGAGGGAGGAAGACAAATAATGAGAAGCACCCAGAAAACCCACTGCGTGTGTGAAGGAAGATACAGCAAGAACAGGAATCCGGAGCCATGTGCAGGGGAGTGGGAGGCATTGGTGCCTTACAGACAGGCCCACGTGGTCTTGACTGTATGTATATGGCCCTTGGGAGTTGGCTGGTGTGTTGTGCAGTGCTGACAGTTCCTTCCCACATAGTTTTGGCTTTCTAAAATCTAGAGTAGTGCCAGGCTGTCTAACATTGTGAGTACTTTCAGTAGTCCAACTACAGCCTAACTAGTTATTCTAAGCAGCCACTGAAAAGGCAACTTACGGTGAACAGGGGCAAGTGGAGCCTGGTGGGATACCTACAATGCCACGCTCTCCATTTTTGGATCCCTTTTTGCTATTTAAAAAGCATTAAAATCCAGGGCATAAAAGGAATCATCATCTCTAGGTGAACATATGTATCTGCTACTACCATCATTCAAATATGAATTTCTTCCAAAGTTTATTAAGCATTTACTTCATGTCAAGCAGTGTGTTGGAGCATACAATTTCTGATTTTAAATAACTTACTCCCTGATAGCAGAACTGTTTACAACCTAACAGGTTAAGCAAATAATTGGTATAAAACAAAAGCACTGTGGAAGCACAAAGGAATAAAAGACTATATATTCAAAGTTTCTTATGTATAATGTGCGTATACTATTACATATTATTATTATATTACTTATCAGGTATAATATTATGTATAATGTCAAACAGAGGTAAAAGAAAGATGCTACTCTAACAAATTCCCATAAAATAATTCTGCTTCGATCACCATCAACTCTTGACCAATCTTACTTATCTTCTAAACCCACTCATTGTTCTAAGGACTTTATATTATTTCTTCCATATATATTTCAGCATGTATATCTAACACATAGGGACTCTTTCTTTAAACCTATAAATCTGCATCTTGAAAAATGAGTAAGTTTTAAGAATTGAAGTCTAATTAACGTAATAAAATGTGCAGATTTTAAGGTGTTCAATTGAGTTTTGACACATACGTGTAACCACTATCTAAAACAACACACAGAACACCCCTTCTAGTCAACTTCCCGCCCCTGAATAACCATGTTCTGATTTCTATCTCCATAGATAACGTTGCCTGTTCTTGGACTTCTATAAATAGATTCATAGAGTATATATGAGGTTTCTAGGTTTTGGTCTAGGTTTCCAGGCCAAAAAAGGGGGAAAGCATTCCAGGTAAAGAGAACTACATGTAAAAATACTAAGTTGTATAAGGATATGGTCACAGGATTTTGAAGAGCTCAGGAAGGTTGAACTGAGACTGGGGACTGGTAGCAGAGAGAGAGAGACAAGACCAGAAGAAGAGGCTCATTGGAAAGTTAGGCTTTCTGGATTAAATATCACAGTTAATTTGTGGGAACCATGTTGTTAAGTAAGATTTTCCCAATGCCCAAAATGATTTTTCTGACCTAAAACTGGTCAGTTCTCTCAATATGCTCCTTTCTCCTCTACCCTCCAGCTGAGAGTGACCAAGGCAAGGGCAGTGTCCTATATCACATGGCTGTTCAGTCCCATTTTGTCCAGAGGCCTCTGTACCATCTCAGGGAAGGGAACAAACCCCGCTTGACTTTCTTAGGAGAGGTTACAATCTCTGCCTCCATTTTAAACAGTCCCAAGTCCAAGGGGCAGCCTTACCATTATCTGGATTTCTCTCTTGCACACCTGGAGATCATGCTCATTGTTGACAAACATGCGTTTCAAGGCACATTTCATCCCATTGCTTGTCCTCACCAGAAATACAATAGCAAATCCACCTGTGAGAGAAACACACACAAGCTCTTTTGAGTCAATGTTCAAAAAGTCAGTCAGATGACTGTGGTGGCTGGAGGTTGCCGCTGTCACTGCTAATGGTACTGATGCCACTGCCAGCCAGCCTTTAGGGCCAGCCTGTTGTAGAACACATTCTTAGATTCTCAGAACTCAGAGATATTACTTGTGGGAGGGGATGGCAAGAATCAGAGAAATTGTTTCCAAACACCTATCTCAGTATAACAAAAGAATAGTAATTATTTTCCAAATAACCTACAAATAAACAGATAAATGGGCGAAAAAAACCCAACTACGTTACAACTACTATCCTATGTACACCTTTTTTTTTTTTTTTTGGAGACAGGGTTTCCCTCTGTGGCCCAACCTGGCATGAAGTGGCGCAATCACTGCTCACTGCAGACTCGACCTCCTGGGTTCAATCGATCCTCCCACCTCAGCCTCCCGAGTAGCTGGGATTACAGGTGTACATCACCACTCCTGGCTAATTTTTGTACTTTTTGGTAGAGAAGTGCTTTTGCTATATTGCCCAGGCTGGTCTCAAACTCCTGGGCTCCCACCACGGCCTTCCACAGTGCTGGGATTACAAGCATGAGCCACTGCACCAGCCTTGTCTTGGGTATTTTGATGCTTTTGTTTAATTCTTAACACAATTCTGTGAGATTGGGTGTTATTTTCCCCTTTAAACAATTACCAGCTGAAGAATACAGAGGCTCAAAGAGATCTGATACAAACCAAAAACATTTTTAAAGACATAAGTGGAGCACACTTTCCCTCATACCAGAGAGGCTAGGAAATTATTTCACTAATTGCTAAATAGTTGTCAATTAATTTCAAGAATCTCCTCTTTTTTCTTCTCATCCTATCACTCAATTTGAACCTAAAAACAGACCTAAAGATTCCTTCTGCCCTCCCTGCCTCCTGGGCTATTGAGAAGATACATGATATGGGTAAGAAAGTGCTATTCCACATAGCATACACAAGACAAGTATCACACAATTATTGGGGAGACTTTTTAATGTCCACACTGACCTTTCTCTAAAAGACAGTTCACAATTCATTAATAGAAATATATAAGCCAGGTGTGGTGGCTCATGCCTGTAATCCCAGAACTTTGGGAGGTTGAAGCAGGCAGATCGCTTGAGCTCAGGAGTTCAAGACCACCCTTGGCAACATGGCGAAACCCTGTCTCTACAAAAAATACAAAAATTAGCCAGGCATGGTGGGCATGCACCTGTGGTCCCAGCTACTTGGGAGGCTGAGGTGGGAAGGATGGCTTGAGCCTGGGAGGCGGAGGTTGCAGTGAGCCGTGACTGCGCCACTGAACTTCAGGCTGGGTAAGAGACCCTGTCTCAAAAAAAAAAAAAAAAAAAAAAGAAATGCATATAACTCTACAGAAATTCTCAAGTGCTCTAAATTTGTTACACCACAGCATTCCCCAAATTCTTAGAACCCTAACCTCAACTTCACTCCTAAAGCACTGTATGAGGTGTTCAATGCCATTGGTGAGAGGAGTTAGATAAAGTGAGGCAAAACTGTCAAAGTTGAAGACTTTGGAATAAGTAGCAGTTACATTGGACACTCAGTCCATCTGCCTGCCTTGTACGTTGTCATCATTTAGCTTGAATATCCTGTCCATTGACTCTGTTCAGCAAAAATTCAGTATGCTATTCTTGCTCAGAGGTGGTCACTAATTGTATAGAGGCGAACACAGAGAGAAGTCTTCAGTATGGGAATTTGAATAGAGGTTATGACATAGTACTAGGCTAGGAGCCACATGCAAAATTGATACAGATCAATAAACACCATTATAGAGATCTTCGGCCTCTGAGAAATAAAGACTTGGGTCCTGATTATGCCCTTCGAATTCCCCCAAGGCTCAGCGGCACTTTAGTACCTGTCTGTTGATGCCCATGGCATTTCCTGCTGCATCTTTACAGTTATTCTTTTCAAGTTAGCTTGAGTAGGTTTTTGTTCCTTGCAACCATAAAGAGCCTTATCATAAAGCACTGTTGAATGTTTTCATAAAATACACACCTAATTTTGTAAAAAGATAATGTAATGGGCTTCGGTTCCAAATGTAGACTGTGATAATGATTTACCAGAGACTGCATGTTTGTATATTTCCTGTTACAATGTTCCTCAGTATTCAAATAAACACTAAAATTTACCATACAATCTTTAATTTTAACTGTCATCTCTCTAATCTTTGTACCTCAATAACATTTTCCATTTTCAAAAGTAGCATTGACACTTAGAGGTCTTATCTCTCTCTCTCTCTCTCTCTCACACACACACACACACACACACACACACACATTTCTCAATTCTAAAATGCATTTTTTTACATTTTGCTTTCAAGGGTATCAGAATGTCTTATAATAAACATGTGCATTTAAAGCAGTGGAATTTATCTTTTCTTCCCCTCATCCCCTGCCAAAGTTATTAAATCCATGATGTTATCTTATAATTAATTAGAACTGAGGAAAATAGTAGCATAAATTGCAAAATTTCTATGTATGTTCATAATTGTTTTGTAAATAGTATAAGTGGGATTCATTTCATTGATATTTCGAATTTTTAAAAATCACAGAACTACAGACTTTGCAAGAGTAGCACCTAGAGAGCATTAAGCCCAAGTGTTTTGCTTTATGCATGGACAAAACAAGTGAGGCTTAGAAGTCCCATGGCTAGCTATGGGCAGAAGCTGGCGTGGTTCACTCTCCTAGAAAAACCATGGATACCCTTTAGGTAAAATGGAAACAGCTGACAATGTTGTGAAACAAAAGGTGGGAATAGGTATTTCCTACACTTCAGTGCTGCCCGGCACTGCTGAAGGACAGGGCAATTCCTTCAGATGCTGCAGTTCGAGATAACTACCACCAGATGGGAGCAGTGCAGTTTTCTTTGTAGTAGCAAGATGACCTTCTCAGCCAGGACTGAAGAAATGGGTCAGTCGCCAACCACACAATCCAGTAAGCACAATGGCTGACTGAGAGCCAGCCCAGATTCTCAAAGCCTATGACCATGATAAATCCAAAAGCAAATTAGTGAATCACTTTACTTAACACAGATGAAGCCACACTGTCAAGCATCTATGCCTATAAAGGGGCTTATCTGCAGATGAGAAGCATTTAAATCATGAGATCAAAATCCACACCTAACAGGATTTGTCAGTCTAAAGATGTTGGTCACTATCACTGTATAGCTGGCCAAATGGAGATGTAAACTACGAGGTTAGAAGAGGGAGAGAGTGCCATTCAAGACACTTCTCGTGCACAGCCCCATCTGCCACACCGATCAGGGTGATGAGATTCTCAGCCAGAGCTTAAGAGGGTTCAGGCTATTATGGAAGGAGGCTGTCAACAGAGAAGACTGTCAATAGAGGTGTTTATTTCAGCCTGATTTGCATCCCAAGATCCTGATTAAATGGGAAAACCTAATGGTTTGGACAGAGGTAAGAAAATCTTAACATTCAGGAGCCTGTGTCAGTCTCTCTGCCTACTGACATTTTTTGAAACACTCAGATAATCTCATCCATGAATCTACTGATTCAAAAAGATAAAAAGGATATGATCTATTATGTGAAGCAAGCAAGTGAAGTAGGCAGCGTAATTTTGACATAGACATGCTTTGCCTATTAAATATGTAGGATTTTTTTTTTTTTATGTCCACAAGAAAACATGTTTTCTCCCGTTTTCCCTAAAATATACAGCATTGTTGGTCTAACTTTCTCCCCCTAATTATTGATGGAGATGTGGATGGCTATTTATAGCTCACCATGAGTTTAGAGGTTTTGTCTGTTTGGTTTGCCTCTGGATTGTCATGCCATAAAACAGTGTTTAACACACCGTGAGCATTCAATAATGAACTAACTCTCCACTTAAGGTTTCTACAGAGGACAGAGAAGGCTACACACAGATAGTGGTAAAGAATATGGGAAACTAATGTGATGGCTCATGTAACAGGATGGCCACCATGCAACTCCAAATCATTGTTGCCATGTGGGAATGTGGACCTGGTTTTGTCAGATCTGCTAATTTCTAAAAATGAGCTAGAAACCCAAAATTGTATGTGAAATCTCCATATTTAAACACTGGCAACAAGCCACCTTTTACATTAATGCTGTTCAGGTCACCATAGTGTAGGGGCTAAAGAAAACACATCTGAAAAGCTTTAGATAATCTCCGAGCCTCCAGTTTTCTACGTCTGATGTAGTCTAACCCCTTCATTTTACTCAAGACCAAGGAGGGGAAGTGACACAGCTCATGTTCCACAAAGTAAAAAGATGATTTGCAAATGAATTCCAACATATATATAAATATTAGCTCAGACATTCATTACCGCAGTTCTTGTCTTTCTTCCCTCAAGATGAGTTTACGGAATACTCCTCCCACCCAGCACGTGTATATGACTTATTTTAAAGGCATTTCAAAATAAATTATTTCATCTGTATTCACACAACGACTGAATGAGGTAGGCGAGCAACCTATCATACTCATTTTCCCAACAGGGAAGACATGCAGAAAGATTAACTTCCTTTCGCAATAACGCATAGAGCTAGTTGGTGGTAGAGTTCAGATAAGATCCCTCATCTTCAGAAATTTTTATTTTTATATCAACTTCACATATAATACAATGCACCCATTTTAAGTGTACAGTTTGATGAGTTTTCGCAACTGTATATACTCACACGAGTGGCTGTGGTGACAGCCAATCCATCACTGCAGGTAGTTCTTCAGGTACCTTTGTAGACAATCTCCCCTCCCCTCCCTCACCATCCCATGTATTAAGTAACTTTGGATCTGCTTTCCATCCCTATAGTTTTGCTTGCTCTAGAATAAATGGAATCCTACAGTATATGCTCCTATGGTCTGGCTTCTTTCATGCAGCATAACATTTCTGAGATACATCTTCATTGTTACATGTATCAGTAGTTTTCGTTTTTTTTGGTTAACTGGTAGTCCACTGTATACATATTCCACAA